CCGGTACGGGCGCGACACGGGGGGTTGAGATCCCGTTACCGGTCAGTAAAAAAGACAAAAAGAAAAAAAAAAAAAAAAAGAAAATTCACTCAAATTCAAAACAATGGAATGTACCATTGCCCGATTTATATTTTCTTTTCACATCCAGTGGCTGAGAAAAATGTTTGTCATATAGCAAGACAGGCAGTCCTGACTTAAGGTCCTTGTGAGGAGATTTTCCACTCAGTTCTGTTGTGGGCCTTTTATATCAGTGTTGTGAGATAAATTATTGAAATTGGGAGTTTTAAATGGAAGATAATATTTTAGCCCTATATATTAGGGGTAGTGAGAGAAAGCTGATTTATTGTAATAAAACAGACAGTACCACACAGTAAACCAATTCCAAATGTCACCCACTACCAGCAGCTTTGCAAAGCTTTCCACAGAAGATCTTCAGAAGGGTTGGAGAGAAGGGTCTCTCGGATTTTATCCTAAATTCATATGCAGATTTGTTTTCTAAGATGATCATGTTTAATACTTAAGATACTTACCATTGAGTCAAACTGATGCTCTAGGAAGATGCACCCCCTCCCCGAGGTGCTGCGTTACAGCCTTATGAGGTGCCAGTCTGCAATGAGAGTTATGAATTATGCCAAGCATCAGCTCCTGCAGTCAGTGTTTCTTATTAGCTCTGAGAATAAAAGCACCTTGCTTACTTATGGGATAGTGGTGTGGATTAACTATAACTCCATACATCTTGAAGATCTAAGTCACTCCCAAATAAGCAAGTGTTCAGAATTCCTGGGAACATAAATATTTTTAGCTTTTTTTAAAGTAATACGAATTGATGTTGAGAAATAGAACCATATGTCTTTCTTTTTTGTAACTGGGTGTTTGGGGTTTTATTTGTTTTGGGGTTTTGGTGGGCTTTTTTGGGGGGAAGTAATTTTGCCGTTGCCTCATAAAAATGACTTACGTAGACAGGCTAACCTGTCTTTGGCCGTGATATTAGATCATTTGCTTTTCATACTCTTTATTTAAGGTGAACTTCAGGTTGAACGCAGACATATTGAAAATAACTTATGTCTACAGAAAAGAAGAATCAACCTGTTTTTAAGCGTTCACTGTTGCTTCTTGTGAGCAAACTAAATCAGTCTTCTGGGCTTGTCAGCCTTGGGGCTAAACTGAGAAGCACCAGGAGGCGTCTTGTCTCCTGAAAGCTGCGGTGCTAATGCTAGCATCAGAGTCGTAGTAGAACTCTGTGCAAGTCCAGAATCTCCCTTTAAAATTAGAGTGATATGGCAGATGTTTGAAGCAGGCAGTGCTTCTACCACTTTCTTTTGGTGCCTCTTGCTTAGCCTCATCACCACCCAGAGCATATCGTGTCGTTTCTCTGGGCTTCAGATCCTTGGCTGTAAAGCAAATCAAAACAAAACACACAAACAGCTTTAAAGGCCTTTCTGACCCCAGTGTTATTCTATATCAGCATTTTCCCAAGTGTTTCTAGCACCGAGTCCAGGAGATGCTGTCTTTCTTTGCACAGAGCCCTTGGGAAGCCTATCAGGCAGCGCCTCTCGTCTCTAATTGTGCTTCTTGCCGAGAGCTGGTGACACTGGTGATCTCTTCTCACTTGTAAAGGGGTGGCCCTATACTCCCAAAGAACCACAGGCTGGAGTGTGTGTGTGTGTGTGTGTGTGTACACACACGTGTACTCACATAGAAGCAAATGGCTTAGATAGACGATTCTAGGGGGATTGCTTAGTGTGTGTGTGTGTGTGTGTGTGTGTGTGTGTGTGTGTGTGTACACACACACGTGTACTCACATAGAAGCAAATGGCTTAGATAGACGATTCTAGGGGGATTGCTTCACGTCTGAGAAGGTCAACCAGAACAGTGTAGAGAACAGACCTGGAGATGCAGCCATGCATCTGTCCTGCTGCTGTTTTGTTCAAGTGTAATTATAGGACATGTCCCCCAAGCTTTGTCTTTCTTATCTACTTGAAGTATCTTAGTCCATTTCTGTTGCTTATAACAAAATACCTGGAACTGAGTGATTTATTGGTGGTGGCAACAGTGAGCCAGGGGTCTCACATGGCAGAAAGTGGCAGAGCAGAGAGAGAGAGAGAGACTCTTATGTGCTCTCCTTTTAAAGCGCTCAGAACCTTGCCCCTGGACCACCATTTTTAATCCATTCACGACAGCACAGTTCTACAATCTAATCACTTTTTCAAGGTCCCACCTTTTAATTACCATAATAGGATTTCCCACCCTCTTAACACGGTCACAGTGGGGGTCAAGTTTTGGGGGGACACTAAATCCAAGGCATGAAGGAAGTCCAGTGCACAGGTTTGAGGTGTTTCAGACACTGCGTGAGCACTCCTCGCTGCCACCCTGGCGCTGCTGTGTAAAGCAGACGCGAGCGCAGAACCCACTTGTGTGTTTCTCTGTCCAGGGCACCAGCGGCTGTCTGTGACAAGCCTGCTTGTCTGTCACGGCTTGCTGATGGTAGGCACCAGCCTGGGACTCGTCGTGGCCCTACCAGTCCCTCGTCTACAGGGGATTCCCAAAGTGACCGGTGAGTGGACGTCTCGTGTGTCTGAGTGGGCTGTGTCCTGTCTTGTAAACTCACTCAGCACATCAGTCTGTGCTGTAATTTAACATCCTAGGATTATTTAACAATTGAAATTATTTGGTTGGTTTTTTTTTTTTTTTTTTTTTTTAGTATACTATAAAGACTCAGTAGACCGTGTCTATTAAATTGGAATTATCAATTTATCCTTTTTAAAAAAAAATTTCTTATGTTAGTGGTCCGAGGAGAATCTTATACTGAAAACATGTTTTCATATTCTCTTTATTGCCACCAATTAGTTCCTGTCATTATATACAGTGTAGCTCAATGAAAATGGGTAGTGTTTATATTTTACATTGTAAAGAAGGAAACCCAGGATTTGAAAAAGCTCACTTGTGCTTTTTTGCAGTGTTGGCAGGAGTTCAAATTGGTATGGCCTTTCAGAAAGCAATTGGCGTTGTGCATCTTGAGCTTTAAAATGCTCATGTGTCTGGAATCAGGGTTTCCAGTTCAGGAATCTAATCTGTCTCAGGAAACAGCCTCATCTAGGAAGAAGCATGATGCAAAAAAGATATTTGCCACAGCATTTACTTTTTAATCCACAAAACAGGAGACAACCTGAGTGTTCAAAATTAGAGGTGGGAGAAGCTTAACAAAATGGTCGTATTTCCATTAGTAGAATAGAATGCAGCCAGTAAAAGTGATGTGTGGGGAGAGGCAGAAAAATGTTAATAGTATAAGTATATTTAAGATCTTAAATTTTATGTTATTATAATATCCAGGAGACAAAATATTAACAAAGAAAAAGATTTTGTGGGAAACTCACCAAAATGTTAATAAGGATTCTATTTGTATAGTTTCCTCCTGATGTCAACCCATCTGTGGCTTAGATACATTCATTTTTTGGCATGTCCACCTGTTAGGATTAAGAAATTCCAATTATGTTCATTCATTCCTTAATTTCTATTTTTATTATGATATATTACATTATAAATACAAAAAAGTTCAATGACAAATATGTACAGTTTAAATAGTAATGATAAAAGGTCACATGCCTGCTGCCTACCTTAGGAAATGGAATATTACTTACACTTTAGAGACACGTGCTGCCCCTGCCCAAACTCATTTCTCCCCCCCCACACCCATAGGTAACTATTATCCTGTTTTACATGAATTATTCCATTGATTTTCCTCTGTAGTTTTATGAATTTGTACCTTAAAGTTTTTTCATTTTCCCACTTTGCATTTTCTTTCATTGTCTCAAAAGCTATGCGTTTCTCTGTTTACTTTTTCCCGTCAGTGTTGTCTCTGAGGTTCACCCTTGTTGGCACATGCACCTGTAGTTCATTCCTTTTCCCTGCTGTGTAGTGTGCCTGTGAAAGGATAGAACACTCTCATCCATGTTTTTTTGATGGATATTTAATTGTTTCCAGTATTTTGTATTACACGTAATGCCTCTGAACATGTGTGTGGCTGTCCCTGCTTACAGGGGCACAAGCTGCTGCAGGGCGCATGCCTGGGGTGGGATCGCTGCAGTGTAGGGGATGCAGGTTTTCACCTTCACTAGGTGTGTGAGCATTCATGTCCCTCCACAGTCCCACATTCCTGCTGTTGGCAGACTTCTTCAGTTTGCCACTCTGGTCAGTGAGAAGTGGAGTCTCACCAAGGTGGGAGATTTTATCATTTAATCTGCTTGGGCCAGAATGGGACAATGGTGACGTCTGGGGCCTCTTTCCACCTGAGAGCATGTGGTGAAAAGGGCACGTGCTCCTGTGTCCTATATCCACGTTGTATTACCTGGGAAGCGTCCAAGAAATGGGGCCAGTCCCACCTGACGCACAGGGAGTCAGTCAGTATGCCAGGGAGGGAAGTATGGGGCATAAAAAGACCTACAGGTGTTTCTGCAGGTTGACAATGATTTTAAAATTTGAATCACATCACCTAGAAACTAAAGAGTCCTAATTTTAATTTAAACTGTAGAATTAACTTGTTCTAAATCCCAGAAGCTTTTTGTAATGGAAAATGACAGGAAGCTACTGGTAGTTTAGGCATTTTGTTCCTAAAACTGACACATTTCAGGCTTTAATGTTTTAAATCAAGACTTAGGAAAATTAGATCTGTTTCCATAGAGCAAATTAGAAGGTATTTCCCATGACTATTTTATTACTTTAAAAGTATGATACGAGTATTAGAACTGAGATACTTCTGAAGAAAGCCCAGTTTTGTATTTTAGATAATCATTTTTAAAGCTTTCTTCAAATTAACTAAAAACCCACAAGAATATAATGTAGAAGGTATTTTTATTTTAACCTGTCACTGACTTGGTATTAAAGTCACTTACAGGGTTTTGTTATTTGAACAGGGAGAGATGCATTGGGATAAATCATGTACCTTTTCTTTCCTTCTGTAATACTGTTTATTTTTTAAAACGGTGGTTGAACTATTTTTTTCCCTTTTCAGGAAGAGGGATGGTCTCCTACCATGCACATAATGGTCCTGTCAAATTCATTGTCATGGCCACCGCTTTCCACAAAAAAGACCAGGACAAATCCCGGGACAGTCTGCCTCCCGGCCCCGAGCCCCAGGATGAAGACCCAAAGGATGAGCTCCCACACGAGGGACCCAGCTCTTGCCTGAGCCAGAGCGACCCTGATGCAGCCATTTGGTTGGGAGATTCTGTGGGATCCATGACTCAAAAAAGTGATCAGTCTTCCTCATCAGGGTCCCTGAGCTTATCCCACGGCTCCAGCTCTCTAGAGCACAAATCGGAGGACAGTGTCATCTACGACCTCCTGAAGGATCCCACCATCTCACTGAGAGGCAAGGCACGGCGGCACAAGAGAGCCAAGGCCAGCTCAGCACTGGTGGTCTGTGGAGGCCAGGGCCACCGGCGGGTGCACAGGAAGGCCAGGCAGCCGCACCAGGAGGAGCTGGTGTCCTCCGTCATGGTCTGGCAGATCCCCCTGCTGAATATATAGGGGAGGGCCCGCCTCCTGGGGTGGGATCCGCAGTCAAGGACGACTTCTCAGCTTAATCACACGGCCACAGCAACTGAGGCTGTGTCTACACTGGTTGGGGAAACATTGAAAACAGTATTTGGGGAAAAAATGTGCAATATCCTAATGACGGCTTTCCTGCCAATTCGTTCCTTCTCTTCCACACAGCAGAACTGAATACAGGAGAAGATTGATGCAATTTCTGAGTAATTGAATGAAGTTCTTGGAGAATACCACGTTCTTTTTGACTGTTGTAGTCCATATATAAATTCTGAATGTTAACCTTCATCAGCTTCAGACCTATTCTTGTATCATATTACTTTGAGAACTTGTAGGACAAAGAACTTACGGAAAAATATAGTGTATTCAATAGTCTAGGAATTTATTAACAATTCTTAAAATAATTTTACTTCATTCAGATTTACTACTTGTATTTATGTTCTATATTTTTAAATTCCAGAATAGAATTTGTAACAATTTAAAAAGTCAGGTAACACATACTGGTCAAGATAGTGTGATTTGCTTTCAGAAGTGAGCTGGGTTTTCCAAAGTGGTATAATGCGTGTACTGTATATTTTAACAAAGTATTTTTATATTGCATTTTTCTATTAAACAATTAACAGTTAATGTTTTAGTAATATACTATCTGTAGTATTTTACAAATGTGTGCTTTGAACCAAAATGCTCAGTACTTCTCAACACGTAGACTCAAGCATCAACACCAAATTACTCTTCCCTTCTCGTGTTAAATAGCACTGACATCCACATTAGAGATGGTATTTGTTTTAGTATGGTAGGAAACATGCAGAAAAGTCTCAGTCAGTTCTTCCGTGCAGTTTCCTGCACCTGTGGACCTGGAATGCTGTGTTCTTTTTAAATATATGTTCTTAATGGCTCGTGGTGCTAGTCAGCATGGCATACTGCTGCTGGCCATGGGACCCAGCCAAGAAAGGTGACCTTGACCAACACTGTGTGTCATGGAGGTGTCCCTCTGCAGAGAGCATAGGTTTGCATTCTGCAATCCTAGTGCCAGCTCTGCATGTCAAGGTTCATGGGTATCAGTGAGTTCCACTGTGCTCAACATGTATTTATTTATCAATATTTTGCTTACTGGATAGATCATGAGGGGAAAAAAAAAAAAAAACCTAACACAGGCATTCACCAGAAATAAGTTTCTCAGCACTTTACAGGTGACTAAAAATGCTAATTTTATGACTTAGCCAAATATCTTCTAAGTTGCATATATACCTTCATGTGAAAATAATTTCTTCCAAAATGTTTTTAAACCGTTAGCTGCTATCGTATTTCATAAATAAAGTCTTTGTTTATAAAGACAGTGTTACAAGCTGCCTTTTTTTGCCTATAAAATACAAAAGGGCAATTACATTCTGGAGGGAAGAGGGTCAGTCTGACCTGTCCTTTCAAATTCGGCATCACCAGCTGCTGGACTGGGGAGACTTCATGTGTAACTCCCAGAGACGTGTGCGACGTGCCTGGAAGTCAGCGCTCTGAAACGCAGGTAGGCACTGGGAAGCTCTCAGGAGGCTCGTGTCGTTGCCAGCTTTTATGTTGAGTGACATTAGGACTTGAAAGAGTTTTATGTAAAATGTTTATATTTGATGGGTGTTTTACAAGACCAGGGTCAACCTTCTATGTGCACAGGTGAAAGAGAGGTATGGAGTTAACTTACTGGGACCAAAAGGCTAATGTCCAGAAGTATTTCCACACTGATGATTGTGCAGGACAGGGATGGAGCGAGACCCGTGTGACTCACTGGTTGCCTCTCACAGCCTCCGTCAGAGGGGAGAGAAGCCAGAGATCGGAGAGAAGCGGACGGGAGGGAGAGCTTGGAAGGAGGAAGAGGTTCGAGAACATGGGGCAACAGTGGACTCCTGCTTTCACAGATTCACACTTCAGTGAGGAAAACAAATGTATCGACAGCTGTTAAACAGAGCCGTGTGTAAAAGCAAATGCATTGAATAAGCTGCAGACTTATTAACAAAGTGTGTGAGAAGTTAGGCCAAGCTCTGTGCCAGGCCCCGGGGGTAGGACAGTGGGTGAAAAGCACCACTTCTGAGTTGTGATTGTCTGTTTATTCACCTGCCCCCTCTGCGGGAGCGTGGGCTCTTCCTAGGCAGTGACAAGCTACAGTGACGGCAGGACTCATGGGACCCCAGGACCAGATGGATGTGTCTGCCCTGTTTCCTTGTCCCATCCGCCAGACAGACCCTCAGTGACAAGACCCACTGGCACTGTGGTCGCCTCCTTTCCTGACTGGGGCCCACTCCTCCCGCCCAGGGGAGTGTCCAGGCTTGGACCCGGCCGCTCACGCTCCAGAGTGTGCTGGTGGCGAGTGTACACCAGCAGGCCCCAGGAGCTGGGAGTGGCAGGCAGGTGTCCCCTCCCTGCTCGCCTCCTGCATGCACTGAGATGTGGCTTTCCATCTGGTCTGCCTGGTGTGCACCGTGTAACCACAAAGTTCCCCTGCGAGGTTGCAGCCAGCTTGAAAACACGGCCATCTGTATCTGCCTTCCCTCTCTGCTGCTTTGTATTGTTTTATCCCTCACCCTTGCTGCCCTGGGATTGTACCTGCCAAAAAAGCACGAGCACAGAAGCTTTACCCCAAACTCTGTTCTTCTAGAGCACCCAGACTCAGACTACAGGTACCAGGAGTGGCACTGAGAGCAGCTCTTTGGGATGGGAACCTGGACTTGCATTGGCCACCTGTCATGATGACCCTTTTGCTAGTGGTAAGAGGGGCAGTAGCACCCTTCTGCAGGCAGCACAACACAGTGCAGTGACTGGAGATTGCCACCCATGCTTCCTAGGATTGCATCTTGCTGGAGGCAGAGCATTGTAGGACCAGTTCATGGCTGTGCACAGTGTGAGGATGATCATCTTTTTTTTTTTTTTTTTTTACCGTAAGGGGATTGCAACACTCGGCATGGTGTTGTCTGCACCACGCTCAGCCAGTGAGCGCACCGGCCAGCCCTATATAGGATCTGAGCCCGCGGCCTCGGCGCTACCAGCGCCGCACTCTCCCGAGTGAGTCCCTGGGGCCGGCCCAGGATGATCATCTTAAAAACGACAATACAAGGTGGCTGCTTATAGCATTAGAAACCTTGGAAAAGGAGAATAGGCTCAGCACAACTGTCAACCTAAGGCCTGTCCAGGAGTCAGAGGGCCTCTGAGGTAGCTTTGGCAGAAATTCATCTGCAGTCACGGGCAGGCCGTAGCAAAGTTACTTACAGGAACTGACTATACAAGCTCAGCTGCAGAGGAGACTGAATGCACAGCCTCAACAGATGCCCAGCGTCAAAGTCAGTGCCTCAGAGGGAAAGAGGGGGACCCTGAGACCAGGAATTGGATCACATGAGTGGATGAGCCATCGACATGTTAAACCCCCAAGTTCCTCTAAATTGCTGGCAGCAACCACACTTTCCCCCTTGCCAGAGGAAAGGAACCCTCCCTCCTTGCTGGAGATTGTGCAATGAGACCCATAGGCAGAGTCACCTCCCAAAGGGATGCTCCTGCCCCTCACCACACTGTCTCTCTGCTGGCGTCAGCGGCAGGCTCACCACAGCCATGGAGGAAGTGCACAGTAGAGATACCTCATGTGGGAGGGAGAGCGTGCATGAGGGAGTGAGGGCATCAGGCCAGGGGAGAGGTGAGGACGGGAGGGGAGAGGACGCACCGACGTGGATGGGGGAGGACAGAGAGGGAAGTCAGAGGTGGGGTTCTTGGGGGTGGTGAGGACCGGGAGGGAAGAGGACATACCCATGGGGACGAGGAGGAGTGAGAGGAAAGAGGACTTGCTGACATGGGGCAGGGAGGAGGTCAGGAGGGAGGTGAGAGGAGCAGGGTCAAATGGAAGCCTCTGAAACTTTCCCCTTTTCATTCCTGTAAAACTGCTAACTCAATCTGGTGTCCCTGGAGGAATCGCAGAGATGAAAGCTGCTGTGGAAGACTTGAAGGATGGCAGAGTGCTAGTCCCCGCCAATCCCCGTGAAGTTCATGGGGTCGGCCACTGCAGACACCAGGTTGTGTGGAAGGTGGCGGGTGCTGCGGGGTAGCCAGGTGGTATCCGCGGTTGCAGCCACCACACACACACAGCGTCTGCACTGTCCTGGCATAGAGCGATGCGGCTGCCAGTTCAGCAGATGCTCGCCTCCCAACACCCTCCATGGGGACAGAAAAGAGTCTGCCTTTGTGTAGCGAGGCCTGTGGCACACTGCTGTGTGACCTCAGCACTCTGCTAATGCTGCTCTCTAGAGAAACCCACAGGGCTCCAGGCATCTCCACAGTCTACAGGGTTTCACACTGCGCCATTGTGTCTATGGCCTTCTGCTTCCTGGACCCACAGGAACCAGATGACCTAGGAGGCCACGCCTAAGCCAGAGGATGAACTACACAGAGATCTTGAAGCCTGCCACCTCAGTGGAGTCTTCAGGGGCTCAGCATCCCAGGCACTCCATGATATACTTAATGGGGTAAAGGACAGGCTGTACTGTGTGCCCAAAGTGTCTCTACCAGCATTTAATCCAGGTGAGGCCCGTTCATCAACATAATATGCACCCAACATTGCCTCAAACCATAGAGCCCATCTTGTGAAAGAGGAGGCGTGACAACGGGCTCAGTGACCATAGGACCACTGGTCTTGTGCATTCCACCTCCTGAAGCAGCTGACCCAAGAGACCAGATATTATGGCAGCTCAGGGACATCATTTTGCAGAGTTGAGACACTTTCCCACCAGATGTACCATATGCATGTGTTCAATGGCTGATACCTGGTCTTGTGAACCCAACCCTAGAATACATATTCTGTGGTCCAAGGAGTGACAGTAGGAGTAGCCCCTCTGCCCGTCACTTCTCGTCTGCCACTTGAAAAATGTGTGTTTCTTATCTCCGCGAACTCAAGGTCTGCTGGAATGCAGGTCAAGCTTTCCAAAGGTGGAAGCTCCACCAGGGGACATAGTAAGAGTTCCACGAAACCAGAAATGTGACTCTCACCTGGCCACGTTGGGCGCCTCCTGACAATGGGCCAGTAAACAAAGGAGGGAGTTTCTGGCTGGGTAATCAACTCCGATTACCATGAGGAGCTAGAATTCTACCACGGAACGGGGCAGGAACACAGAGGACTCACTGCGGGGCCTCCTAGAGCTCCCACGCCCAGCAATAAACATAAATAATCCACTGCAGTGGCCGTAGCCTCACTAGGGCTCTGCAGCTAGGGGCTTACACACCTTGACAATGAAGGTCTCTTCCCCCACGCCAGTCAAAGCACTGGCCACAGGAGGATGGTGGAGAATGGAAGCTGTGAATAGCAGTTACAGCCCAGAAACAACTGAGCAGCACCTCGGCTGACTCGGCCTCTGTACGTGTTGTCAGGAGAGTGTTGCCGACCCTCCACTGAGGATCCAACCCAGAACTGTGCAGACCCGTCATCCCATGTGGTAAGCTTTAACCAACGCACGACAGGAGGTGGTGAACTTGCAGGACTGGTTTTGAATCGCCCCTCTCAGGGAAGAGGTGAAGGCATCTTATTAAAAATTAAGGCCCCATACATAGTATGAGAGTTGGCTATCGCAGGTGAGTGAAAGCCAGTCTGCAAATCTAAGTGATGATAATGGTGTATGGTCATGAATCATGTACCTGCCTGGATTTGCGTGGCCCTCCTGACCCTTGGGCTTTCAGCCATCTGCTCAGTGGAGAGCCCTGGGGGTCTCGGTCTCCCCTGAGGGTGAGAAGCCCCAAAGCCTAGACCCAGCCTGAGAGGCTTGGCTTCAGCAGCTGCCCCAGGGGGCATGGGACCCAATCTAGAAGCTCGGGGGACTTACTGGTCTAGGGAGAAACTGACCAGGAGAGACAAGAGATGGGAAGAGGGAAACAGACTCCACCCCTCCCTGCCTCCAACAGACTGCTCCGCATGATGGCCTGGCCAGCCTAATCAGAGCTGTCTGTCCCCCGATAAGGTGCAGTCAGTGGGGCAGCCACCTTCTTTCTGTGGCTTTCTGTCCTTCACTGCCCCCTTCCCTTTTCCCGTCACTCTTGCTGCCCTGGGATTGCACCCCTGATAAATCAAGCAGCGACAAACTTTTCCCCAGGCCGCTTCCCTTGGGACCTGGGCCAAGTAGGAGATGTACCGACTTAGCCACGGGGAGTCCGGGAAGGCTCCACAGGGGATGGGATGTCTCAACTGACTCTCGAGGTTTAAAGAGACTTAACCACACAGAGCCAGAACGGGCTGTTCCAAGTAGGGGAGCAGCTGGGTACGGACCGCCCTGGAAGAAACAGGCGGCCGAGTATCCAGAGGAGATGTGCAGCCCGGGGGGTTCG